ATGTATCCAATCCCTATCTTGTCTCCCTTTCTTTTTATACGATCCCGATATGCCTCTTTTTTTTAAATTCGCAGGATTTTTAATTTACTTGTATACTAAGTACTACCGTACTTAGTGATTATTGTTGTGATTCTTATGTTGGTGATTGAATACATTACGTATACAAAGTTTCGTTCACATACGTACCTCTTACGTGAGTCACACTTACACATGTATTTCCATTACAATGCATTGCCCGGGACACTTTCTTGTTGTTTACAACAAATAAGTATGAGCAGCAGTCTCTTCGGGTGACGAATATCTACATTCTTACAAAATTTCATTACTGTATGTTATTTCGTTTTTGAGTTACGAGAGTTCAATCTGAAGGAGGAGAAGATGAACAAAACTCCCTATCATACCCCATACATCTATGATGCTAGGTACCATGCCCATCCCTATCACTACAGGCTACGAGGCGACCAAAGAGTGACACCAACGGTTTCAGAACTACGTGGGAATGGTGTCGTTCAGTGTCTACCACAGTGGAGCTAAAAGATCAACCATAGGGACTTGCAACAACGAAGAAACAATCACTTGATGGCCGTGCACACCTCCGTGGAACCTGGAGACGTTCAGTGAAAAAATCAGAGCTGCAACTTATATCGGTAAGGAGATAGCAGCTCTGAATATTATGATGATAATGATGACATGAAAATCGGAAAATTGCATATGAGCGAAATCTCGTGTAGAGAACTGATGGCATGTATCAAGTATTTGGGCAGATGTATAGCTAGATATTGGCCTGTATACTATTGTTAGTGATTTTTAAGCCTAGCGAGTCATTCTCGCCGAGGTTTGAAGCGTTTTATGTGGATCGTGTGTGATTTTACCCGTGCCATCCCTATATAGAGCGTTTTCCGATGCTGTCATAAACAGCTAATCCATATTGCTTTGATAATGTAGTTTAGACAAGATGGAATTGCACTCATAGTTATCAATCAAGCATGGTGTAAGTCGAATTGAATCAACAAAGAATGGTTGCTACACTACATTCACTAGTACTTCATGTACTACCATTCATTAATCTGTTATACAAGTAAATTAAAAATCCTGCGAATTTAAAAAAAGAGGCATATAGGGATGGTATAAAAAGAAAGGGAGACAAGATAGGGATTGGATACATAAAGCATGGTTATTGAACAGATTTGAGTACACTGACACCCCCAACCCCATCACACCATCCCTATATTGTTGCCTGGTGTGCTACTCTTATAGGGGCTAAAGGTTACTAAAAGCAAGCATTCTTTCACTGTGTCCTTGTTGCTTTTAGTAACATTTATACTGCCACATTCCCTTTAATTAAACTCCACATGGACTCTATAAGGGTGTTGGTTACTCAGTAAGTGCATTGTAAGTTCTGAGTATTGTAATGGTGAATGTTTAATACTTCACCTAGGCAACAATATAGGGATGGTGTGATGGGGTTGGGGGTTTCAGCGTACTCAAATCTGTTCAATAACCATGCTTCATGTATCCAATCCCTATCTTGTCTCCCTTTCTCTTTATACCATCCCTATATGCCTCTTTTTAAATTCGCAGGATTATTAATTTACTTGTCTCCACTCATTTTCATATACTACTACGTATTATCTCTGTGGAAGGGGGCAAGCCAGTTGTCGTGATGGAAATGATATGCACACCATGTTTCATCTCCATGTGTGCTGCCATTAGCAAGTTGGAGGAGTGAAGAAGTAATTTTAAAGAAAAGTGCCTGAGGCTATATAGGGTCATCATGGAAACGATGTTACACACATGTGTACCAAGTTTCACCTCCATGCATGCTAGTTTTAGGAGTGAAGAAGTAATTTAAGAAAAGTGCCTGAGGCTATTTGTTGTTGTGGTCGTCATGGAAACGATGTTACACACATGCGTACCAAGTTCCATCTCCATGCGTGCTACAGTTAGCAAGTTTTAGGAGTGAAGAAGTAATTTTAATGAAAAGTGCCTCGGGCTATTTGTTGTTGTGGTCGTCATGGAAACGATGTAATACACATGCGTACCAAGTTCCATCTCCATGCGTGCTACAGTTAGCAAGGTTTTGGAGTGAAGAAGTAATTTTAAAGAAAGTTCCTCAGGCTATTTGTTATTGTGGTCGTCATGGAAACGATGTAATACACATGCGCACCAAGTTTCACCTCCATGTGTGCGAGTTTGAGGAGTGAGGAAGTAATTATAAAGATAATCGTCTGAGGTTTCTTCAAACAGTATGCGGTCATCATGGAAACATGTAATCATCATGGAAATGATATCATAGGCATACGTACCAAGTTTCATCTCTATGCATGCTACTATTGGAAAGTTTGAGGAGTGAAGAAGTAAATTTAAAGAAAAGTGCCTGAGGCTATTTGTTGTTATTTACAAGCATGTATTGTTGTCATTTTTATGTTGGCTATTGAATACATTGTGTATACAAACTTTAGCTCCCATAACTCTTACCAATTGTTACACTAACACATGTAGTATGCCCATTTTAACGTATTGCCCTTTATAATGTATGGCCTGGGGCAATTTTTTTTTTGTTTACAGTAAACAACATTGTTTACAAACAAAGAAGTATGACGTTGCACATGTGGTTATCGATATGTACATTCCTGAAAAATTTCATGCCTTTATCTCTTTCGGTTTTTGAGTTACGCTGGTTTAAGAACAAGAAGAAGAAGAAGAAGAAGAAGATGAACAAAACTCCCTATCATAGCCCCATACATCTATGATGCTAGGTACCATGCCAATCCCTATATACTAAGTACTACCGTACTTAGTGATAAAGCTGTGCCATTTTGGTGGAACAGTGCCACACGCTACGACCTTACAAACTAATGCAATAAAATATACCAGTAACACTATCTGACCTTGGTCCAGTGACTTCTTCTAAGATGTGGCGGTTCAAATGCAGATTGTCAGCAACAATTTTATGTGTGGCAGCATTAGTTTGGGTCAAAAAGCATGGAACTTGTCTTTCACACTACAGGAAAATATTAACAAGTAAATAAAAAAATTCTGCGAATTAAAAAGGTGTGGAATATAGGGATGCCATAAAAAAGCAAGGAGACAAGACAGGGATGACCTGGGTATGTGATGCAGTAGTACAATGGGATGGTGGTTACATCTTCAAACTGACATTTCTTGCTCATGTAAATTTTACTCCACACAAGCCCTATATTGTCGCCACTCTTACTCATGACATGAGATTTGAATATGTAGTCTGAAGACTGGCAAACGAATACTGTAGGGAAAGCAGCATTGTAAAACCAGTTAGTTGAGTGAACATTGAAGTAAACAAAGTCACGATTCAAAACTGGAGACCTGTCAGAGAGGGCATTTGCTACCAGTCTTACGTGCATAGGAAACGAGTCATAGCTGCACATCATACGATAGAGATCACTTGTGCTTTGCGACAATATAGGGCTTGTGTGGAGTAAAATTTACATGAGCAAGAAATGTCAGTTTGAAGATGTAACCACCATCCCATTGTACTACTGCATCACATACCCAGGTCATCCCTGTCTTGTCTCCTTGCTTTTTATGGCATCCCTATATTCCACACCTTCTTAATTCGCAGAATTTTTTTTATTTACTTGTTAATATTTTCCTGTTTTCCTATTTACTTGTCTCCTTTCCTTTTTTTACGGCATGCACATGCATTGGGGCATAATGCCCATATAAAAAGTAATATGTATTTATTGCCTCGTCTGTTAGTTGTCATCTACATTTTTATTTCACTTCCAAGTGTACAAAGTTATAGGAAAAACAGCACTCAATTGCCTGAGGCTGTTTGATGTTGTTTACAAACTTGTAATTCATATTTCAATGAACTCTTATCATAGTAAATCAGTGTACCAAGTTTCATTGTTAGAGGACCCACAATAAGCAAGTTACAGGCACAAACATCATTTACACAACTATTTATTGCCTGAGGCTGTTTGTTGTTGTTTACAAACTTGTGTAATTTATGTTTCGATGAACTCTCATTGTTGTAAATCAGTGTACCAAGTTTCGTTGTTAGAGGACGCACAATATGTAAGTTATAGGCACAAACTTCATTTTATTGCCTGAGGCTGTTGTTGTTGTTTACAAACTTGTAATTTCTGTTTCGATGAACTCTTATCATGGAACATCAGTGTACCAATTTTCATTGTTAGAGGTCCCACCATAAACAAGTTATAGGCAATAATATAGTTTACAAGTTTTTATTGCCTGAGGCTGTTTGTTGTTGTTTACAAACTTGTAATGTTTACATTTTGGTACTAATGATGGGTTGCATGTGTGTACAAAGTTTTATCGCTCGGGGTATTAGCTTTACCCAGTTAGCACATTTTATTGGTCTCTATAATAATGTATTGCCTTGGGCTATTTGTTACATGTAAACAAAATTGTTTACGAAGAAATAAAAATGCTCTTGCACGACCTGTCATGGATTCCAATCTTTGTGCAAAGTTTTATCTCCATATCTCACCTGGTTTTTGAGATAAGCATGTCTAAACTAAACAACAACAACAACAAGAATCGATATAAGCTATTTCTTGGATACATGCTGTTTGTGACGATACAAATTAGTCTGATGTGTCAAAAATTGGATCTGATTGAAATAGAAAGTGAAACATGAAAATCTCAATGTATGGGCATAATGCAGGACAACCTGTGTCATCCCTATATACTAAGTACTACCGTACTTAGTGATAGTGCTATACCCCAGCAGTTGTTTTGTTGACTGGCACAAAAACGCGATAATGACAAGACATACAGAGTGAGAAATCTACATGCACTGAGACAAACGCAGACAGAACGTGCATAGTGGAAAACTACATACATCAAGACAGGACAAACTATGGTACGCATAAACAATCCGAGTAGTCTCCCCATTGTGTTACTCAACATGTGTGGGTTTTGTGTGGAGGGAAAATAGGGCAAACACTGACACAGGCAAAACATACTATGGGAAACCCTGTTGTGCATGTCCATGCACCAAGGAGCAAAGCAAAAACAAAATGCACCTGAAATCCATCTTTAAGGTTGAGAAATGAAAAGGGAATAGGTGGCTTGTCACCAAACTGTCTTTCTAAATATCTGAAGTCCACAGTTCTCTCATCAATCCGAGGAGGAGTTCCTGGCAATGACAGAGTATTCAACTCATTTCTTACGTGTGTAAGATGTCATAGATATACATACAGACACAAGGTGGAAAATGGTATGTACAGTGGACCCTCACTTATCTGAACTTGTGTCATATATGAAAAGTGTACATAATGTGGCCTTGTGAGAAACAAAAAAAACATTTTGAGCCACAAGCAGGCACAAGTTCAGATAATCCAGATCTGGATAACAGCAAAGATAAAGTGCTTTTAGAGGCTATAGTGTTAGCAGGTAATGCAGAAGAAAGTTGCAGTAATAACTTCTTTGTGGATTTTCTGGGGCATTGTAAACGCCAGTCAAACAAATAAGATTATGAACACGATCCCTACTTTTAATTTGGTAAGCCATTACATGACCATCACATCCTGGAATCAAGACCCTTCTCTATGGCCTAGCAGATCGGTTGACATTACACAAGAATAAAGGCAAAACCTTATCATAAGAACTGTGAAGCTAAAGTAGATCTCGTAACAAATTAGCCTGGTTCCCCCCCCCCCCCATTTTCTGCCAACTGGACAAAGTGAAATAGTTACATTTCGTTCCAAACTCCCAATTCCTGAGTTTACCATTTTTTGTAGTTAACCGCAAACAACTAAGTGACTACAATGAGCGCCTGAAGCATGGTGAAAGGGAATGTGCCACTGGAATCTAGCATGTTGGAAGGAAAGTGCATCCCCCACTGACCAATCTTCCAGTAGCCGGAGCCTTTGCCAAAGTCAAAGTTTAAGGTACTACAATTCCCAAAGAGTAAACCCGGTGATGTATGGCTACTAAACACCAGCTCCTATCACTAGTCATAGAGCCAATCCTCACCCACTGGCCAATTGGTATGTGATGGTGTTTGTTGATTATCTCATTAAGTTCATACAAGTATTTGCAGTGCAAAAGCAGACCTTCGCAACTATCGCTAGACTCCTTGTGTAAGAAGTTATCAGCCGCCAAGCGAGGCAATTCGCTTCTCTCAGGCCTGATGCAAGAGGTAGAAGTGCTCTTACTGCAAACAAAACACTGTCCCCGCACAGATGGTTTTGTTGCGCTGCAACACTGAAGAGTCACCGCAATACAAAACTACAAAGGATGCAGCAGAATGGCTTGAGTAGTTGCCCTGCATGCTTTTCTTTATAAAAAGTAAAAGAGACAGGGAAATGTGCAGGACGACTATTCTGGAGAGCACAGAAGGGGCACATGGCATCTAAGTCAACAAGTGAAAGAAAGCCCAAGAAGGCAGCCTTCTTCAGGTGTAATGCATTGACTAAACTCGGACTGTTACTACACAACGTTTCACGTATGAACACATTAATTTTATTAGTTAGCACACTGACCAGTTTTAAGCCGTCTTAAAAGAAATCCAGCATCATCAAGTACACTTGCTAAGGCAATAGAAGGGGCATCTCCTCTTCTGCCAGCAGGAAAGCTCTCTAGACCTTTGCAAAGGTTAGATATTGGAGTAGAGCAGTACAACTGTTTAACACCATTAACTTCGCAATGAAAAGCAGACATAATATTTCACAGAAGAAAAAAATATATCTTAGTACGCATTCAAGCATGAAAATGTGTTCACTAAATCTCCCCGAAATTTGCATCGTGCTTACTAAGTGTCTGCCGCGCCGTTTTCCTGCGCAACCTGCACACATGTAAAATTGAAATACGTACTAAACATGTTAGGCACCTTGTCAGTTGAAATTTTTGCTCATTACAAGAAGTTGGGCCGCGTAACTTACATTGTGTTAGGAAACACGGTGGATATATTGTGGCATAGGACATTACGTCTTGCTCGTGAATTATTGGGGTGGGCTCATGGAGTGTCAACAAGTTCACAATGTGTTGACAAAATAGGAAAAACGTGCTTCTTATCCGTTCTCTACCGTAAATTTAGTTGCGAAACTTTGTTACTCAAAAATTGAACATAAAAGGCATATCTATGAGGTTCGTCGTCTTATGCGCAGGCAAATGCTCTGCTCCAAAAGAAGCTGGCTTATTCAAGAAAAAGTAGTCATTTTGGTCTGATGTAAGGACGCTGAATAGGTCTTCTTGTTGATGGAGTAGTAGGTGGTGGTAATATTGCTAATGTGTTTGCTTCAAAGCTTGAAGGAATTTTCAATACACACTCTCGTTCCCTTGTACCTCTTCACAGTCTTCCATTCAATCTCCAGTGACAGCCTCTGACATAAGTGATGTGGAATTCTCAGAGGATGATGTTTTGAATGTTTGGATGCTCTTTCTCTCATCTAATGAACAGCAAATCAGATGGGGATGGTTAGCATTCCATTTAAGCATCCTCAGTTGTTATGGAACAACTTGCATCTTTTTTTTAGTTCACTTGTTCGCCATGGTTTCATGTCTCAGCGTCTTGTGTTCTGGTTCTGTACCCAAGAAGATCAAGGATAACACTTGCAGTGTCTAATAGCAAAGCTTTTGACCTCCTAGATCATAGTTTCTTGCTTGCTTGTGGTTCACCTCTTCCAGCTGTTCGTTTTTTTTGTGTTTTGGTATAGCAAAACGATGAAACGTTGGAGACAGTCAGTCTGAATCTGTCTAATTGTGTTAGGCAAGGTGGTTTTATTTCACCTGTCGTTATTTTCTGTTTGGATGGTTTGCTTCAGAAATTGGCTGCTTATGATGTTGGTTGTGATTGGGGTAACTTGTTTGTTGGTGCAGTTTGTTATGCTGATGATATTGTGTTGCTGGCTCTGCGTGATTAGAATTCTGAAAACACCCAGTTAATATTCTTTCTTCCTCGTCCTAGCTTTCCTGTTTTCATATTCAACAACCACGTTCTGTGCTATTCGTTTTGTAAAGTGTTTTCTGCCTGAGTCCTATTGCCTATCTTTCTATGGATGCTCTCTATGGTCACTCTCGCAGTACTAATTCAGAGTTATTGAAGTAGCTTTATTGCGTAACTCTGTAATTTACCCCGCAACTCAATTCTACATTGTGTTGATAGAATAATCTTTTATGGTGTAGTTATTTTTCTGCTCCCTGTTGTCCACTGCTGTCTCATCGTCATTATCTTTAGTTCGTTAGTTTTTATAGTTTCAAGCCATTTCTTCTTTTACTGGATATAATAATTTGCAACATCTTTCACATTATAACTCGTATGATTTCAAGACAGCTTATACAAACCAGACAGCTTTGTGGTCTTCATTCTCCCTGTGAAAAGCATCATTTGTCACCTGTCCCGTCAGTAGTCATTAACCCTTGGCGCGCATGAGCAGCGTGGGTTACAGTAGTTGGTTTGTCTGTGTGTGTGTCGAAACTTATTTAAGGCACTACAGGCTACGAGGCGGCCCACCAGCGGCTTCAGAACTACGCGGGCCTGAAAAACAAAGGGGCTATTTTCCTAAAACGACTGCATTCGAGAGATATGCCGTGAAAACAAGCGAAAAAGCCAATATGCATAATCGCACTAGGCTTACCGCGGCTAAAACGCTGACAAGCGACCGGGGTCAATCAGTTTGCCAACAGTACCGAAATCCCTGTTAGAGAGGATACAGCGGTGGGAGTTCACGATCAGATGATCCGACACCCAGGCGAGGTTCTCCCTGTTCGAGTTGATCCGCCCGAAACGGAAGCAGATTGAGTCCATCACGGAGTGGACAAAGGCGTACACGGTCTACGTCACTGCGTTGCTCCAAATGTTCCCGGAGCAGGCAAGTGAGCTGTTGGAATAATCGTCAAGGCTGCACAACAGTATGACGGGCTTCAGTGTAGGGCTTATGATACCCACTTTCGGGTGGCCACCGCAGAGACCGGAAACTGGTGGATGTCGACCTGTATACGAGGTTTTTTACGGGTCGAGCCAAGTCGGTGGCGTGCTGCCATGTTTGCGATAGCACGCAGCATCTGGCAGCGAACTGCCCGGTCAGGAAATGGGAACTGTCGTAGCAGTCGGGCTCGTCGGGCCCAAAACGGCAGCGCACCTGGGCCTCAGACATGTGCGCCTTCTTCAACTCGAGCGGCGTATGCAGCTTCGGGCCTCGTTGCAGGTTTCGCCACGTATGTGGGGAGTGCGGCGGATCTCATCTCATGCAACAAGCCAGTGGATGGTGAACGTCGCTTATGGGCTGTACATATCACCCTACCACTGTCTATATCACCCTCATGTTCTATATCACCCTCATGCATCACCCCTGTTGCGTACATGGACATGTTGTTATGGACGCGTGCAGGGTCTGGGTGTATAAGCAGGCACTCGTACCCAAAAATGGCCAAAACGGGGTCGGTATGACATGTTGCCCTTCCACCTTCGGGTGTGATAATTCCAAAAAGAAGTTTGTAATCCTAGGTGTCGTATCTCCCCCCCCCTCTCCCCTCGGTCTTTCTTCCTCTTCTCTCTTTCCTCTCGCTGCCTGTCACCCACCACCTCCCCCCCACACTCATCTGAATCTCGGCAGGAGCAGGTGTCCCATTGCGAGAACTGGGGCAACGCAAGGCTCTACTCACAGGGTAGCTGAGGCGATTGGCAATGCATCCGTCTCCTCTTCCTCCGACCCCGGCCTTCCTCTCCGGGGTCTCGACCCCGTGGCATTGTCGTGCGTGGGAGCAGGTGCTGCATACCCATCCGGATAGAGAATTCGCAGATCTCATTGTCGGAGGTATTCGGGAAGGATTCCGGATTGGCTTCGATTTCTCGGGGTTTGGCAGCACTGTGTCGTTCGATGGCAATATGTGCTCGGCTCTGGAGCCCAGTCGTTTCTGGCCATTTATTTCTCAGGCTCGCGTAGTTCTGAAGCTGTTGGTACCGCTCATGTAAATCTTCCTCCACACATTGAAAGAAGCTTCAATGTAGCCTGTTCCGTCTAAAGGAGCAAACATCATTCGTCATGAATTATTGGTCATAGAGGCCATTACCACTTCAGTTACTTCTTCCCCCACCTCAAAAACCCACTTTTCCTCAGATATGAAGCCCTATATTGTCGCAAGGTATTATTTGCAGTTATGACTCGTTTCCTCACCATTTTGAGACAGGAAGCTAGCTGATATCCTCTCTGTCTCTGATAGGTCCCCGGTTTTGTGTTGTGACTGCATTTTATATTCCATGACATCCTAACCAGTTTCACCATTAGCCCTCCCAGTTTACATCATTAACCAAAGAAACGCGAAGAGTGGTGACAATATGTGGAGGAAGATTTACACGAGCAAGCAAAGTCAGTTTGAATATGTAACCATCCATTGTACTACTGCATCACATACACTAGGTTATCCCTGTTGTGTCTTCTTTCTTTTTATGCCATCCCTATATTCACATGCAGGGTAATAGTTTCAATCTTTGTGAACAGTTGCATACCCTGGTTTATAAATACACTTGTCAATACTGAACAACAACAACAACAACGACAAGAATTTTGAAAACAGCAATTACGATTAATGGCATTGAAGAGGTACATGCTTAATTATACCATGCAGATCAGACTGATATTCCAGAAGTTGGATCTGATTGAAACTGAAAGTGAAATGTGAAAATCTCAAATGATAACCAGTGTCATCCCATAATAGAGTGTTGCTCTATAGAGATGGCACAGTCAAATGTAATGTGTACCACGTACAAAACGCCTCAAAACTTGGGCGAGAATGACTCGGTATGCCTTAAAACACACAAAAAATAGTCTACGTCCCAATATCTAGCTATGAGATGGCACGTATGAAGTTTCCAAAACTTTATGCATGCAATGCAGATGCAAATTTTTGGGTAATCATCATTAAATTTTATCTTCAAACCCGCTATCACGTTACAAGAACCAGCTGCTTTTCCACTGAACGTCTCTGGGTTCAACGGAGGTGTGCACGGGCTATCAATCTTTCTTGCAGCAAGTCCCTACCATTGATCATTGATGGCAGACACCGAATGATGCCATTTCCTGCTAACTCAGCAGCACACACTGAGCATGCAGGAGGGCATTATCTTGATGCATGCACAGGCGGTGGGTTGCAGCGTTGTGTAGCTAACACACATTTTGCTGTTGGTTTGCTCAGCAGCCAATTAGTTGTCTACTCTGCTCGTGTTTCAGTGTCCATGTCCATCGAACTCCAAAAACTAGCTTGTTATGTGCATGGTACTTGATTGTGAGGCAGTGGTAAACTAGTGGAACAAGTTCATTGTCAACCCCATGCACATCATCAGAGTTGCCTTAATAAAGATATAGGGATGGTGCCATGTAGCTTTGTGTGTTTTAGCTGTGTGATGAACCCCTTTTTTGTGTTTAGAGACATCTCTAAATGCTCCTCAATTTTGAAGAAATGATTTTTACTAAGTACTACTGTACGTAGTGATAGTGTTTTTGCGTTCACCAGAGTCCAGGAAGTGGTTGTGTAAACTGAGTATAAAGGTACCATACTTTACTTTGGCATACATTTCTTATGGAACATAGAGCTAACATTTGACGTGATAAGGTTTAGAACACAGCGAAGCATCAGAACGAGAAAGTAGCGAGAACTCCAGTTTTTGCAATTCGATGTAAGTTACGACAATATTTCAAGGGCTTAGGTGAAGTCAAAACTTACGGTACCATGGCCATCCCAATATACAAAGCAATAATGTACTTAGCAATCTTACCTATGTATATTTTCCCGTTCAAAAATGTACCAGTAGTAATAACAACTGCTTTGCACTTCAAACTTTTACCTGATGCTAAGATATAAGCATCAAAGTGAAGCACATACACATAACAAAATGTGAACCCTTGTCAGCAAGAGGGTATCATCACTACCTAAACTCTACATGATGGCAGGATACAAACAACAACCACATTTGTCAAGGAAATTATTCACTGGCGATCTAATATTTTGCAATTCAGATAAAAACTTACAGTCAGTGTTATGGCACATGTTGCCCTGGCCCGAGTGCCGACGGCATTTTGTTGGTTTACATTGTAAACATAGCTTATGTGATCATGTAGAAAAGCCTAGGCAACATCTAATAGCTGGGTTTTGCATTGTTGTTTAGAGGGTGGACGAGCAGCTACATTTTTTGCACGTATTTAGAATCAAACAGAACATTTGCGGTGCAGTGCCGCATTGAATATTTACATATATACATAGGAGGAACTCTACCACGTGTAGTTACCGTGGCGACCCGTCTAGACACATTCAAACTGTTTGCGAAATAAGACTGTTGTGAGCTGTTCAGCGACGAGATACTATCTTGTCTAGACCAGGAAGACTCCGAGAAGGAACTCGACATAATCATGCTCGCCGCGAGCCAATCCCCGAACACTCCGCGGATGTGCGCGTAGAGTGGGCAGAGCCCTTTTCCGCGAAGTGCGGCGGACGACGAGCGAGTGCTGTAGCTTCCGCCTACCGTTTCTGGCTCGCCGCTTTTGGCTGAAACCTCGCTCGAATCTCTCACCAAGTGCGTGTTCACGCTCGCTCCCCAATAGATCCCATTGTCCAAGGCAGCGGAATCCACTGAAAATAGATCCCGCGTATGGACCAATGAAATTGCGCGATTTCAAATCACCAGGATCTAAATATAGGTTAGACGCGGAAGCGAGGTGTCTACGCTACATTGCAACCCGAGGGGCTGTGGAATGTTGGCGTCCCGAGCGCAGCGAGGGCGCTACCCACATGCCCCGAGGGTTGCAATGTTGCGTAGACAACCGAGCTTCCGCGTCTAACCGGTTTAGACCGGAGTATCTGATTGGTGTTTGCGCGTTCAAATGGGTAGCAACAAGCTAGCAACGCTGCGCTCATTCCTCATTCCTTACCTTCGGATGGAACAAGACGCTTTTTTTACGTGTGAGACTCCGAGGAGAAAGCCCCCGCCCCCCGTCAAAAATCGTTTACGTCATCATAAAACGCCCTCATTGGTGGTGCGCGTTTGAAAGGGTTAGCAACGCACGGCAAAGGCCCTATGTGTTTGTGTATCGCCAGAGCTAAAGAAGCCGACGCTTTTTTCGTGGAATATTGACGTGATTTCTGACTTTCGCGAGCTCCGGAGACTGTCCACAGACATCTTGCAGGTGCACTACGCATTTTAAAAGAACTACTTTGCCAGTCGCGCCTTCTACGCTTACATATACCGAACGCGGAATCGGCCGGTTTGCGCAGATAACGACTTTTGAGAATAGCCATTTTGTACGGGGAGTTTGCTGTAGACCACCTGCAAACGCCATTAGACACCTGAAACGAGGTGTCTATGAAAAATAAACCCCCCGCAATTCTGTAATCTGATTGGTCAATTGCGCGTGACTGCGGTCTAAGCGGATTTAGTGCATAGCTGATTTAATCTAATTGGTCCACACGAAGTACTTGATTTCCCGTATTATACCTGGGACGCTCCATAATAACCTTGTTTTTCATGTAAAATTTTCACATGAAAATGACAAGATCTAATGACACATGTAGCTTTATTGTCTATAATAGTAATTCTTTTTCAGTTTCAACAGTATGCACAGAGAGACAAGAAGTTGGGGCCTAGCTATGTGTAGCGCCTGTACGCTAGCGCTAGCGGTACGTCATGCCCGCGTATATATATGTGCGCGTAGAGTGGGCGGAGGCCTTTTCCGCGAAGCGCGGCGGACGACGAGCGGGTGCTGTAGCTTCCTCTTACCGTTTCTGGCTCACCGCTGGTGGCTGAAACCTCACTCGAGTCTCTTACCAAGCGCCTCTTCACATTAATTCGAATTTCAGTCGCCTGGAAACGGGCGCAGTGCGTGTGCGGATTTGGCTGCTCTGCAATAAACATGTTAGTTACTCAGTATACTTGTGAACTACAGGATTTCAATGAACCCTAGTGCACGTACGTCTGTACGTTGTGTAAGTGCGCATGCGCGGCTTTGTTACACATTTTCACACCCTGCCTCGCGATGTGCCGATCTAGCTAGCGAGAGAACTCTCCTCCATTTGACGGCATTCGCTGCAAACTTCGGTGACTGACCCTCTTCCCAATCTTCATGGTTCCATTCTGCTCACCTGCTCACCGTTCTGGCAATATACAGTATGCATGTAACGGCGACAGGTAGATCTGCCTTGCTTTGTGAAAGGAAAGCTGTGCGCTAATGGCACGTTATGCAGCCTGAACATCGCGGGCAAATCCCAAGTTGGGTCGCTCCCGCTCGCCAACAATATTCAACATTCTTCTAGTTTACTTGTTTTTGTTAGTTACCTCTTCCGCGGTAACTATTTCGCGGCCCTGCAGCAATTTTGTTACACGTTTTGGCCATGGAAACCACGCCTTCAATTCTGTGCGTGCGGAAGGAAACCGGAACTTCAGGAGAGGTTCTTTCTCACGAAAAAAAACAGGTACTCGGTCTTCTAGTAGGGAGCGGTGCATGACTACAGGGCAGCTCGAGCCAGAGGCGCACGCTAGCAGTGCGAGAAGCGTCCAGCGACCCCGCCTAATTTCGCATTAGCGAGCCTCGCCACCAGGAAAACTCCGAGAAGGAACTGGACATACTTATGCTCGCTGCGAGCCAACACTACGATTCCTCCAAGGCTCCGCCCACAGCAACAACCGACAATAGTGTGCGTGCGTCGACTACGAGACCCGCCTCCACCACAACCGCAGCAGTTCCCCTCCACCGTTCGTTCGTTATGCGTATGCTCCCCAATAGGTCCCATCGTCTGTGGCAGCGGGATCTACGGAAAAAATATTCCGCGTTTGCACCAATGAAATTGCGCGATTTCAAATTACGGGGATCTAAGTATAGGTTTGATGCGGAGCAGCGGGAACTACGCGATTTAGTGAGCCAAAGGCCCTGGGCTGTCAGGGTCCCGAGCGCAGCGAGGGCGCTACTACCAGGCCCCCGAGGCTCACTAAATCGCGTAGTTCCCAAGGCAACGAATCTAACCATCTTAGACTGCAGCGCAGGCACTAGCCACTCGTAATACGCACGCTGCATTGAGGATGGGCGGCTTACTGGGGTCACAGATTATGGAGCTTTTTGCTGAGGATGAACTGGAATTAGATCCTGGTGATTTGAAATCGCGCAATTTCATTGGTCCAAACGCGGGATCTATGGTCTATTTTCAGTAGACCCCACTGCCCCAGACGACGGGTGGCACGGAGCTCTGCAGCGCTCTGCGCCTCTTCCACAAAATGTACACGACAGGTGTCGTGATATACAGGCTCGCTCACAACAAACTCACCATCGGAATCTGCAATCGGAATCTGCAATCGGAATCTGCAATCGCAACTACGTACTCTGTCTTATGGCTCTCCCTTACAGTGACAACTACGTTTTGGTAATCATGGTCCCTTGCAACCACAGCTTTAATACGGATCCCGTGGTGGGTATCTCTAATGCTTTAGCTAATGTTCGCAGATGCCAGGCGGTCAGCCGTTTGGAATTAAGCGGGAAGCATGCGGGGGGTGGGAGGTCACTCACTGATGGAGCGCCACTCTCTTTCGGATCCCTTGCGGTTATCTGTACGCCGCGGCAGTGAGGACGTTCCGGTCTCGGGCCCTGCCTCGTCTACATGCTCCGTTCCGTTCCCAATCACAGGGTTCAGTTCTGTTTCCGGGTCGACAACCGCATCCACGTGGTTGCCGTCCGCCATCTTGTTTCAAACTTGCCGTCTGTCTTCCCCGCGAACCTTCCTCGTGAGAGCAGTCCAAGAACTTGAAGACTGATAAGTAGAGGCTTCGAGAGCTCTGGTGCCAAGGTATTCACTCGCAGGCTCTCTAGTCGTACTTTGGCAGCACGACCGAGCCGTCTCCCCTGCCAAGCTCCGCTAAGCCGCTCTCACTGCCGACTGGCGCGCTTACACCTCTGGACGGTGAAATGCCAGCTAACACTTCACTCGAGTCTCGGTGGGAGGCTCCACTGTAAGGTCTTGTGCGGTAGGAATGGATTTATGTTGAAGGAATCTCTTTGCTGGCACACACTGACAGAACACTATAGACTCCAATGATTACATAACTCTGAGTAATATTTGCATGCGCACAATAAATATAGTAGCGCCCTCGCTCACGCTCGGACAGCTACAGTCTGAGGGCCCGCGGCTTTCTAAATCGCGTAGTTTCCTCGAATCGGCATCTAACTGATTTAGAGCCATGGCAACCACGCCTCAATTTAAAACATGCCCAGCGAGCGGATGGAAGACGGAGCTTCTAGAGCGGTTCCTTCTCACAAAAAAACCAGGTAGTCAGTCTTCTAGCAGGTAGCGGCGCATGACTACGGAGACCTAGCTTGCTCCGGCTACAGCTCCAGCGCACGCGCACACTAGCTGTGCGAAAAACTTGTGCATGCGCCCACTAGTCAGAGGCACGCAAGAGTGTCAAATTTGTGATTACATCACCTAGCTGTGTGTCATTCCTTTACTCACAATCTCAACTGTGATTTAGTTTACCAATGTCGCAATGACAAGTACCACCTACACATTATATTAGACAGAGCTAAACATAAACAAAGAAAGATGTAGGGATGGATGTATGATTTTTGTTTTCAGCTGAAGCATCTTCTTGTTGGTATATATCCTTTTTAAAATTTACGTCATCCCTACATCCCCTTTCATTTTGAAGAAAAGATTTTTCCAGTTGTTTTTTTTCAAAGTGTCTATGCATGTTACATACATACCAAGGTGCACACCAGCCACCCTTTGACATGAAGATGATGGCTGAAGCATAATATCCTCCACAGAATCCTCCATCATTTCTAAACCCGGTGTGCTTGATACAACATCCTGCATGTTTTTCTTGTACATATCTCTGTCTATTTGAGCCCGTATGCCCTGTAAAATTATACGTACTAAAATGCACCTACACATTGTGGCATGAGACAAAAAATAGAATACACAACAAACTAATCGTCTTACTGCGGATTTTCATTCTCAGGCCTTCCCGGTATACATTTACGAGGCGTGACCATTGCGCATGCGCAACGTTGGTTTAGAGACTGGGAAGGCCTGGCCTGATACTTCATGAGAGGTAGATGTGGGGTAGACGAGAGGGAGTAGTGGTACTGCTAATCTAGCACATGTACGTGTTAATTAAGCTACAGGCTTCTCTCAACCTCTGATACTCTCGCACTGCCTTTCCTAACTCGGCCCACAAGACAAGATGTCTTGACGGACGTAAGTCCTGCAGCAGGCTCAGATGCTTGTTAAATAGCAACCTAGACAGTTAGCCTTCAGATTTCATACAGAATGCCTCCTGTACTAGATGTGAGGAAGTATGAGGAGACAAGATACAAGGAAAATGTCAACTCAGATGGTGTTGGATTTTTGAAAGCTTTACTCTTTAGCATTGGTTCCTCAGCAGGGGTCATCTCATGTGCTCTTAAAGGGAATGCAGCAGTATATAAGGGCTTAAATCAGAAATGTTACTAAAACGGAACTGAATTGCATTCTCATTGTGTCCCTATTGTTTTGTAGTAACATTTTAAAATTAGCCCTTATGAACAGCCACATTCTGTTTAACAATGGCCTTGTATATGATTGTCACAACCACTTGCCCCCAAGTAAGAAGCGGCAGCGTCAGCATGTCGGGTGGTGAGAGATATCCAAAGGGAGCTAAACTAATCACATGTGCTAGGTTAGCTGATGCAACTCCTCCAACACGTCTACCTCACAATTACCTCCAATACGTCTACCTAACAATTATTCTGATCAAGTACTCGAGAACAATGCATAACTGAGGTTGCTTAGAGCTTTCCAACGGTAAACAGAAACCTGTCCAGACTATTATGTAATGTATGTCAAGCAAATACATCATTTGAGCATGTGCAAAGGCCTTGTTACATGAATTATGTGAAGGGAGCGTGCAGATGCCAGTACACGGTAAACGTTCAAGATCTTGACTTGCTGGATAGGAATTTACTCTAGCAGGATGCCATTTACTTTTAGTTATACTGCCCTTAATCAACAAAACCCGCAATCACTCACTTCATTCAATCTATGCGCTCTTCTGTGCTTCATTGACATACTGCCAGACTGCGCTTTACGTTTAGATGGGAAGGCATGTCCGCGTCCACAAACTGCTCATCTCACGAGAATTGTTGTGCTACATGCGGACATACCTTGCTCAACTTGTTATCCATTGGGAACAAAGAGAACAAGGATAACAGACAGAGGAGAGACATCAAGAAAAGCTGCTAGCAACCACGTGGCGTATGCGCATGCTTCGGCGAGAAACTGACATGACGACGTATGTGCGCACAATTTTACGGCTTTATCTCTTTTGGTTTTTTTACTTATGCTGGTTTAAGAAGGAAAAAAAGATGATGGACAAACTCCCTATCATAGCCCTATACATCTATGATGCTATGTACCATGCCCATCCCTATATACTAAGTACTACCATACTTAGTGATAACTAATAATAATTTACTCAAGTGAAATTTAAAGTCCTGGGCTGCGTGCAACAAAACCCCATATGATTATGAGAAACAAGACATTTTTGCTGTTTCCATCAGGATACAACACAAAAAGTACAATAAACAAACACACTGTAGTATTACACATCCTTAAACTGAATCATAAGTGTGCCACATGTGATATGCAGGCACACCTTATCACTGCTCTCTTATTCAAACGTACACATGTAATAAATCTGCCGCCATAGCAGTCATTCCATCCATTACTCCCAATTGTAAGTAATATTTTGTCAATAATGCATGCTTTTTCCTGCGGTAGAAAACACCTATCCCTTAAAGGACACGATATGTAGAATACGTTAAGTAGGTATGATAAACAAAAAGGTACGCACTACAGAAGCACATGCTAACTGCACAAAAATAGAAGCTCCTTCCTTCTGAAAGGATAAGCAGCGTGCTATTAGTAGTTCATAGCCTCCACGAACAAGCCGTGCTTGCAGTTTTTTGTACTGTGTGCTTAATGGCTAATAACAGTCTGTATACTGATCTCCTAAGCCACTTAAAACCACTGTAGGTACCATGCTGTTCCATTTGTGCACTTCTTAGGATTCTATTAATGCCCCCATTCACTCTCTAACTTTTGATATGTAGCTCCAGGGACCGCAGGTATTAAAATAATGGAAGTGTACGCATACTCACAGAGTGTGGAATTGTAACTTTTTTACTCTGAAAACGTACCTTAAGCAATCCATCCAAGTGACAAATCAAAATGATGCTCAAATCATTGCTGCCTCGGCGGCAGGTGATGATACCGCACTGCTAATTGATGGGCTGGGCTACTACGCTGTAGATTTACACATAGTGTGAGTCTCTCATTAGCTTTTGACAGGGGCTAGCAATAGGGGCTAACTTCTGATGCCTCCACAGTACTGCGGAATGCGGTCGAGGTAAGCCAGAAATAATCAGAATATTGGCTGGTTCACTTGTTTTTCGCGGTGTAATGTAACTTTTGAATGTAGTGATTTTACGAAAATCACCAAAATTAAACTCAAGCAAGTGTAGAGGTGAACTCGTTAGTGTCGCTCTTAGGCCGGCTTGTTGGTAGAAAACAAGGTAACAGACAGGCGGACACATGCATATAGAGAGCGCAAGAACCAGAAGTTTGACTCACTTATCAACAGCAACAAATTTAAGAGAGCGCCTACCGTTGACAAATCCAAAGTAGTGCTAAACCTTAGTAAGAGGAAACCCACACAATCAGCAAATTAAGTTCTCTCGCTGGGTCAAAACTCTGCACAAGCACCATCCATCGCATTAACAGAGGCTACAGCTGGACAGTAAGATCAGATGCAAGCTGGTACACTTGGATAAGGAGTGAGCCATCAGCAGAGTAAGGCCACCTAAGCCCAATCTTCGTGCCACTTACAACAGGCATTGAAGAGCTTAAAAAGTGATGGATCACTTGTAATTCCTCAAGCTGAAAGCAGAACACAACAGTGTTATAAGATAGACCGCAATTATAGCGAAAAGATGCACAACTATAGACATGTGTATCTTAAATCCCACCACACGTGAGGAGAAACGTGTATTCACAGCAGTGAAGAATCTGCACAAAGAAACAGCATCAGTGATTCCACATTGAAGCATCTAAACCCACAACACTCCTACCCACCACAACTATACAGGCTTCCAAAAATCTACAAAGAATAGATCCCTATGAGTTGCTGAATCAAGGAGTTAGTAAACCAACACTTCTGTTACGTATATAATTCATCCGCGCTTGTCTAAAAGACAAGAAATTCTGTAATAAATCCCCATGATGTGGATATTCCTATAAATGAAGCACTTACAGGTGTTAGCCATGAACTCGAAAGCGACACCACTCTATCAACAATACGACAATTCCTGCAATCTGTGCTTAATGCCGTCCCATGTCTTAGCCAATTTACTTGTGGAGCACTTCGAACAAAATGTTTTGGCAATCATCACCCTTGAAACCAACGCCATGGGTCATATATAAGGAGGACACTTTCATAGTTTGGCCTCATCGAGCCAGTTCACTCGATCTTTTTTATTTCTACTCCAAATGTGAGTCCATCCAATTCACAACGGGAAAAAAACGAATAACTCTATTACTTTCCTGGACATGTTGGTAGTTAGGAACGAAGGTGGTATATAAACCTTTGTATATCGAAAACCAACCCACAGTGACTGCTACCTGAGTTTTTACTCACAGGATCACACAAGGGTTTTGGCAGGTGTAGTGAGTTGTTTGTACATAAGAGGCGAAAGAATTTGTGACTCCAGCAGCAAAGAGAGAGAGAACGCAAATTTATATGCTGTCCTGAGATCAAAGGCCTACCCATCACTCTTTTATTCGTTCCGCCTTACAAAAAGGCTACAACAAACATCCGTCCGATACCGAGACAATCATCCCTACAAGAAAAAGGGCCCAAGAGAGATGGCTGGGCCTACCGTATTTGAGAGGCATCAATGGTTTGTAGGCCAAGTTAAACTGCCAAGATCAGAGTACGATTCAACTGCCAAACAACGCTGACACTTCTCACACAAGTATAGAACAAGGTTACCAATGAGGTGGGAAAGGGTGTAGTGTACGAAATGCCTTGCGAAAATGTTGTAGGCAAGACAGGCAGCCTTGAGTGTGGCCTACTGCTGAGTGACACCTTAGCGAAGCAAGTCATTCCCTATACCAAGCAATTTTGATTACTTAATTTTTTCACTACCTCCTCTCCTTGTATTAACTTCTGTCTCTCTTACTCTTTTGTACATGAGCCATTTACTCACGTGGGGAAAAAATTAGCTACGTTTGTTAATTGAATGCAAAATTCCTTTGAACAATGTGTGCTGTCACCCTGTTTTTACCTTGTAATTCCGGTATACAGTAAGTAGTAACTTGTCAATATTACCATTTAGCTGAAGAAGGCCTCCGGGCAGAAATGTTCTACATTGTTCCTTATTGGTGCGAACATTACTTGGACATTACGTCATGTATGCCTATATTTAGTTTCCCGTATGCACTTAAGCCACGTGTATCCTCATTGTGATCAGTTCGGTTCAGTCAGAGTCAGCATTGGTCAGTAGTCCACGTAGCACGTAGTGTAGGCTGGATCGAAGCGGAGAGTAGGCCGCAGAGTGCTTCATTTGGGGGCCTGTCCGGGAACGGAGACGTACTTCCGAACAACCAGACTCATCACGGCTGACCGACGAAAGAGAAGACCGAACTCACCGAGCGAGATGTCGATGACTGAGACATTACGGACGCAGCTGGATGAGCTGCGAACGGAATTGCAAGCCCTACAAGTCAAAAATCGGCGACTAAAGGAAGATAACCCCACAGCGGGCAGAAGCTGTGCAACTCGAACATGAACTGCAAGAAACCCAGGCGGAGAAAGTACG